CATCAATATATTTCACTTATTAAAGCAGATTATCCCGTGTATACCAGCCAAACCACAGTAGGTCAATATGGATGCAGAATGCTTGGTGGAGCTTTAGTTCTGAGGTATAGATGCTGCCTGGACCCAAAACAGTGGGAGGAATATGGCTGTGTAACTTCTTTGTTCTTGAAGAAAAATCAGCAGAAGCAGCACCATATATAACTCGAATTAGAGCCCCTTTTCTTTCCTTTTTGAAAATTTTACTTTATTGTAAAGATGCTGTACAAAGGGCTTAGAGTTACATGAGTAAGGTAATTTCTTGTACATTTCTTGTTGAGCATTGTTACCCCCTCCTTTGTTTTCTCCCACTATCCCTTCCCACCCTCACCTACCTTACTCCCCCTCTTCCCACAAAGTTGTAAAGTTCATTTCCAGTATAGTGTCTTGGGGGTATCAGTGTTGCAATTGGTCCTGTGTCCTTGTTTCAACATTTTGTTACTCCCCTCCCCCTCCCCAAATTGGGTCTGGGCACTGTCTTTGAGCTCTTCAGCCCAAGGCTAGTGCTCTACCACTTGAGCCACAGCACCACTTCTGCTGTTCTGGTGGTTAATTGGAGATAAGAATCTCACAGACTTTCCTGGCTTTGGACTGGGATCCTCAGATCTCAGCCTCCTGAGTAGCTAGGATTACAGGTGTGAGCTACCGGCGCCCAGCCGAGCCCTTTTTCTATTGGCATCTCATTTAAACTTCAGAAAAGACCCTTGAAGGTAACCCCATTTTACAGAGGAAGAACTTGAAACTTTTATGGGGTCTGAGACTGTGCTCAGGGTCATACAAGTTATAAGTAAAAAGCCTGGATTTGAACCAGTTAGACTGAATTCTTTTTTTTTTTTTTTAAGCATCCTTGTTCTTAGAATTTCACCAGAAGTCACACGATTCATCTGCCTTCAGATGATCCACATCTCAGTATTTTCAGTGGAAGGAAGAATCGTCTTACCTTTTCTGCTTAGTTTTTCACACTGCTGGTAGCTTCAGCCTTCCCACCATCCTAGCGATGATGTCACTGTACCATCTCCCTGACTCCCACCACACCTCACTCCTACCATGGCCTTTTCCTGTAATAAATGCGGAAATTCTGTTTGGAGCACCCTCCTGTTGGTTCCATAATCCTGTCTACCCCTTCCCTTCTTGAGTGAACTGGGCTGACTGACATTTGATGTGTACTCTTTGTCTCAAAGAAATTAACTCAGTGGGCTGTGGTGGTATATTCAGGGATGACATGACATCATGTGCTTCAAATCTAGACGGCTTTTATTTTATTTTTTTTGGGTCAGGTTGTGGGGCCTGAACTCTGGGCTTGGGCACTGTCCCTCAGCTCTTCAGCTCAAGGCTAGCGCTCTACCACTTGAGCCACAGCGCCACTTCCGGCTTTTTTCTTTTTTGCTTATGTGGTGCTGAGGAATCGAACCCAGGGTGTCAGGCATGCAAGGCAAGCGTTCTACCACTGAGCCACCTTCCCAGCTCCTAGACGGCTTTTATAAATGGAGCACAAAAATGATTTTATCAAAGCCCTTAGGCGTTGTCTTAATTTGACGTACATTTCTGGCATAGGGGAAGGACTGCTGTATTTGCTATTTGCTAGGGAAATTTTCTACCACTTGAGCCACCTCACAGCTCTTTTTGTTTTAGTTGTTTTTCAGGTATCGTCTGACTTGCAATCCTCCAGGGCTCTGTCTCCAGAGTAACTGAAATATAGGCATGCACTACCATGCCAAGCTTGGATTTTTTTGGCGGGGGGTGGGGGTGGGGGGGAGGTCAGTCATAGGGTATGAACTCTGGGCCTAGGTGCTGTCCCTGAGCTCTTCAGCTGATGGCTAGTGCTCTACCACATGAGCCACAGCACCACTTCTAGTTTTCTGGTGTTTAATTAGAGATAAGAATTTCGCAGATTTTCCTGCCCTGGCTGGCTCTGAACCTTGATCCTCAGATCTCAGCCTCCTGAGAAGCTAGTATTACAGGCATGAGCCACAGGTGCCCTGCCGGAATTTCTGTTTGTTTGCTTCTTGCCAGACCTTGGCTTTGAACTCAGGGCCTTGAGCTCTTACTTGACTTGCTTGCTTACTAGTGGCACTCTTCTACTTGAGCTACACCTCCAGTTTGGCTTTTGTTGGTTACATGAGGATGAGTTTTCTCTCTCTGGGCAGGCTTCAAAGCCTAATCCTGTAGGTCTCAGCCTTCTGATACAACATCAGGTGGCATATATTTTAAGATAGGGTCTTGATGGTATTTCTTGTTCAGCCTTGTTACAAACTACTGTCCCCCTGTCTGTGCCTCCTGAATAGCCCGGATCACAATTGTTCACCACCATCCCTGGCTTAGCAGCTTGCAAACTTTTTGCTCAGTCTGGCCTCTTACAGATGTACTCACCATGCCTAACCTATAATCTCATTTCTTAATTTTTTGTTTATAACAATGATAACAGCATATTTGATCAATTCTTCAGCAGAATCCAAGAAAATAATTGATAAGAACTTACTGTTACATGGCCTATAAATGATAGATGTATTTTCTTTTTGTTATTTTTTTCTTTTTTTTTAGTTACCACCAGTTTCTTATAAATGGGAGATATGGAAATTATGTACATGATGAAAGATCTCAGAACTCCCATGGAATGGGCAGCTTCATATGATGCCATTTCACTGATGCCTGCACACTTCCCAATAATGTAGCCTCCCTAATAAAGAATGATAAATAATCTTTGTCATCTAGAACTACTTTGGTGCCTCCACATTCTGGGAGAAGAACTTTATCACCCACTTTCTCACTAACTGGCTGAATTTCTTCACCCTTTCCTTTAGAGCCCAATCCCATGGCCATTACTGTGGCTTGCAATACTTTTCCTTGAGACTTTTCGGGAAGCATAATGCCTTCTTTTGACCAACACTTAGTCAAACAGAGGAAGAAACTTCCTAAATGCTTCTCCAGCCATGACTCTTGTGGTCGCTACTTGGACTCTGCTTTCACGAATACACTGCAAAGAGAGCATTTTTTTGTTATTTTTAAGGGTATTTCTCCCTTTGTCTTCTGTCTCCTTAACTCCTCATATTAAATGTCACACATGGAAAGAAAAATACCACCCAGGAACACATTTCATTCAAATTTGCATAGGTTGTCTTGGCTTGGGTTCTTCCAAAAGCAGACAGAAAGCCAAGAACATAAATGATTTATAGAGGAAATCCCAGGATAAACCAGTAAGGAAATGAGGACAGTGAGGGGAAAATGTAAACACAGATTTTGTTTCTCTTAAGTCTCAGGCTCCACACGATGGAGGTGCTCTGGAGTATAGTTTATATCTTCATCTTTGTCTCCCAGGAGGCTTTTTTTTTTTTTTTTTTTGGTAGCTCATGCAGTGGTCAGTGGCCACAGGTGTGCCAGTACCTAAGATTATTTCCAGGATCCTTTAAGGACGCACCAAGTATTGACATTGAAAAATGATGACATCTAGGGAATGGTGTACAGACTTATAAGCAAGATCTGAGAGTATTTGGACAATGCACCAGCAAAATGCTAAGATTAAATCAGAAAATCTACTCTGTCTTTTACATTTGATTCAGTCAAACAAAATAATCTTCCCAGGGTTTCATGGCTAGCTGATATCAGAAGCAGTAATGGATCCCATGTGGCCTTACTCGAAGCCTTGATGCTTTTAAGAAGCTGATGGTAGCAAAGTATGTTACTTGAGTTAAAGTCACAACTGTTCCCATTGCACCTCAGTTCACTTTATTGCAGTTGCCTGAACCTTTAAAGCATATTTTACCATTAACTTTATTTAGGTAAAACTTATATAAGTTGCACCTACTTACTTTATAATAGATAAACTAAAATGATTCAAGTGCTTGGTATCCTTCTGTTTTCATTTTTTTTTCTTTTGCTTGGTGCCTTCTACTCTAAAAGGATGAATTTTCAGTTTACAAAACAAGAGAAAACTACTGTAGAGCCCAGTAGATGAGGGTTTGACACTTGCCTAGGGGGAGAGTGGAGGAGAATGAGTTTTGGTGCAGAGCCTTGGTTTATTAGAGTCACTTGAAACCTACGGGAGCCTGGGTTCCACCTGCAGAAATTCTAATAAGTCTGGGAATTTTTACGTAAAAGGATCTCTGTGTGATTGAACTACACAAAAGTTCACAAACAGTGTGCAGACATATATTAAAACTAGGAGTAGGCTTGTTTGTTTTTAAATTTCTCATCTACTATGGACCGATATTCTGGTAAAATATAGTCAAAAATTAGAAAAATGAAAAAAAATGAAAGCAGGGTGCTGGTAGTTCACACTTGTAATCCTAACTACTCAGGAGGCTAAGATCTGAGGATTGTGTTTCAAAGCCAGAAAAAAAGTCTGTGAGACTCTTATCTCCAATTAACCATCAAAAAGCCAGAAGTAGAGTTGTGGATGTGGCTCAAGTGGTAGAGCACTAGTCTTGGGCACAAAAGCTCAGGGACATTGCTCAGGTTCTGAATTCAAGCCCCAGGATTGGCACACACACACACTTACACCCACACCCACCCACCCACAAATAAAATTAGAAAAGTGAAAACACATATAGGAAATATAAACCATAATATTACTAGGTTCAATAACAGACAATAATTGAATAAAAATTCTGCTAAGATTGCAAAACATTTACTTTTTATTTCTATTATTATTGTTCTGTCTGTGAAAGGGCTGCGGTGGTCTGTGGAGCAGGTGTGGAGAAATGTTATGTAGAGGACATGTGAAGTAGGTATCCCAAGAGCCTGCCTCTGGATTTACAGTTAGAATGCATTGTTGACAAGGACCTAAAAATGAGGGGGCTAAGAGGTGAAGATTAGGTAAAATAAAAAGCTGCATTATGTTTTTGAAGTCACTCCAGAAATGCTAATAAATTCTTTAGAGGATACAAAAATTCAAGCGAACTAGTTTTTCAAGTTTAAATAATCCCCAAACCTAATGCAGTTCTATATCCCACCTAATATATTTTCAGAAACTACACAGATAGAAGATCCAAGAAAACAATGGCGAGGGGAGCAGGAGAAGATGCTCAAGGACTATCTCTCAGTGGCCCAAGATGCACTTAGGACACAAAAGGAGCTGTATCATGTAAAAGAACAAAGACTGGCTTTGGCTCTAGATGAATATGTACGGTTAAATGATGCCTATAAGGAAAAGTCAAGTTCTCGCACAAGCTGTAAGTATGGTATGGCTATCCAGACTTGAGGGGTGGACATGGAATTGTAGATGGTAGAATGCCACTTGAACTTCTGTGGAGTTTAATTTTGAGCCCTTTTCCTTCCCATGGAAGAACTCCCCTAACCCAAGAGAGGTAAGGGCACTCTACAGATTTCTCAGTAAAACCCCTCATCCCCATTATAGATAGAAATCTGCTTATTTGTGGATAATACATACCATTTGGTATCCTCTACCTAAGTGCCTTTTATTCGTTTATGAATAAAACTTCATTTTTCAGAACAAGGCAAGTCATTCAGTCCTTTTGATTACTTTTTTTTTTTTAATTTTTTGGTCAGTTGTGAGGCTTGAACGGGACCTGGGCACTATCCCTGAGCCTTTTTGTGCTCAAGGCTAGCTCTCTTACCACTTGAGCCACAGTGGCATTTCTGGTTTTTGAGTGGTTAATTGGAGATAAGAGTTTCATGGGGACTTTTCTGCTTGGGCTGGCTTTCAAAAGCAATCCTCAGATCTCAGCGTCCTGAGTGGCTAGGATTACAGGCGTGTGCCATTGGCGCCTGGCCTTTTGATTACTCTTGTAAAGTATCTTTAGTGGGAGGGAACTGGAATATTAGAATTAGAACCAAGTTTCCATGTTCCACCCCTACCCACACAGTTATTTATTTCACCCATCATTTTATATATGAAATCTCAGGGAGACCTTCTTTGCAGAAGAAATTCTACTTAAGTTATAAGTTCATGGATAATGAAAAGCCCTGATAACTTGCAACATAATATAGTTCTCTAAGGAATACTCTAGCAAACCCAGGAAGAATTAATTATGATGTTCCTCTTTTCCGAGTTAAAAAATTGTAAGGATTTAAAGATTTCTTTTAAATTTGCATGTCTGAATGATAATAAAGGTATTATAGAAAGAAAGTATCCACAAATGAACAGAAATTTTACTTAGAGTCAGTAAATGTTAGATCAAAAACTAGTGATGAAGCCGGGCGCTGGTGGCTCACGCCTGTAATCCTAGCTACTCAGGAGGCTGAGATCTGAGGATCGCGGTTCAAAGCCAGCCCGGGCAGGAGAGACCGT